CAAATTCCAAGTTCGTGAAAGCTCTGTTTTTAGTCTTTGAAAATCTCTAGGAAAAGCAGGACTTGGTGGTTCACATACCTATCCCAGTGTTTGGAAGGCAGAGGCTAGGAGATGTTGGGAGTTTGAAGCCTGGGCTACAGTGTGACACTCTATCTCAAAACAGAAAAACAAAGCTAAGACATCCCCAGGATGGAAATGCCAGCATTGGAGGTCTATCTGTGGAAAATCAGGTTTTAAAATAGTGATGGCCTCCTTGTTGCTGTGTTTAAACCCTTGGAGGCTCCTCTTTTAGTTTACTATTATGGGAAATAAAAACAAAGGAGGCTACTGAAGGTATCAACATTTTTTTCCCCTGAGCAAGGGGAACAATGAAAACAACAGTAACTAAGGTGGCGTTTGCTGAAGGGGCAAAGAAGAATACCAATGAAAATATTTGGTATAGGAATTCGGAGAAGGAAACAAAGTAAAACAAATTGGAAAAAGGAAAAATAACACAGGTTTGGCTATTGGATCTGTCCTCGTCGGCACAACAGTCAGAACTTACAGCAGAATGGCAGTGATTCCACACAGGACAGCAACATTCACAAAGGCATATGCTGGGGCTTAGGGACCAACTAGACACTAAAAGACAATCCTGAGGAATGTAACACGGTGGAGGTTTTGAACCTAAGTGGCTAGAAATGTTTGTATTAATGGCATCTGCAACCCAGAGGAAATAGTTGAAGGGAGAGTGGGGTGAACCTGGATGACTCTGACTTGCTCTAAGCACTGTGAGGTGACACTTGTAGTTACACCTGACAAAAGCCAGTCGCTGGTACAAGGCCTTTCTTGCTGGGATGTGCCTTGGTGCACCATTGGCTTTCACAAATGGCCACAGGCTGGCCAGATCCACATGTGAGTTTACACCTAAACAGCCACTGTGAATTATCAGCCTATTAGCTATAAAAATGCCTGAGAAGGCTTTGCAATGAAAGGGGCTGTGTGATAGTGTGCCCAGTTCTGCTTTGACAATAGACCAGCCAGTCATGCGACCCATCTCCCACCCTTCAGTAAGCGAAAAGCTAATCTCTTGCTGAGTCCTAAGAGGCTATGCAGGCTCACTAACCATCCCCCAAAATGGAGAAGTTGGTCATCAGGAATGGGCCCAGCAGTCCCTGAAGAAATAGCTGAGTTTGGGGTATAAGCCACAACTTCCATCAACAGTAGGCACCTCCAAAGATATTTGTGTCTGCATATTTCTACTGCTAATATGTCACTGTTGTTTGTTGCAGTGGGGTTTCATTTTTAAAGAATAAGGATTTGCCTTACTGAGGAAATGAAACAAGTATGAATCAAAAAAATGATAAATCAAGCTATGACATAATTTCTATTTTAAAGACAGTCACAAAATGCTTATTACTTTGTATTTATAATTTAAATTTTATTGAAAATTGATTTTTTACACTATATTCTGATCATAGTTTCCCCTCTCCAATTCTCCCCCATCCTCTCCACCTTCCCCCCCCAACCCAAATTCACACCCTTTCTTTCTCCCTTTCAGTAGAAAACAGACAACTAAAGAACAAGCAAAACAAACAAATATACTTGGTGCAGGGAGAGTCAAAGAAAAGCACAAGATGATGCTTTAAAATACATGCCAAACAGAGGAAAATATCCAGGAGAAATCATCAAATGCCTATGTGCATTAATTACTTTGTTGTGACAAGATATCTAACAGAAGCAACTTAAGGAGGGAAGGGCTTGCTCTGGCTCACAGTTTGGGGGTGCAGTCCATCATGGCAGAAGGAGAATGAGGAGGCTGACTGCATTGCTTCCACAATCAGGAAGCAGAGAGAGGCAGTCAACAGTGCCTGCCCCTTCTCTTATTTTCCTTTTTATTTATCTTGGGGCCCCAGCCCATGGAATGGCACAGCTCCCATTCAGGGTGGATCCTTCCTCCTTAATTAAATTTCTCTTTGTGAAAATGCCTTCACAAACTGTAGAAATATGTGTGAGGGCTAATGTTCTGTCTTAAGTTTAAATTACTGTGATTCAGAGATCTGCAGAACACAAATGCCTCTAACTTTAAGCTTTGCTTGCCCAAGAACAGATAGCTTCTGGGAATGCTGGGGGGCTGTGGTTCATGTGACAAGCCGTGTACTTTTACTTCTATAAACAAGGCTGCTTGTCCCAACTGCACAGGACCTGCTTGATCACACATAGGTGTGAGGTACCTAGGCAAGAAGTATGTCAGGATGTATGCTTGACCCTGATTGGATGAAGTCTGGAAGTCCATAGCCTTGTGGGTTTTGCCTTTATAAGCTCCTGACATAATTTAGAGTCATTTTCTGGGAATCCCATGTATGGACCTGGTCAGTGTCCACCATCCTGGTCAGTTTTTAAATAAAGCTTGCTTCAAATTTGACTCAAAAATTGTGGTAGTCGTCTTATTCTTGTTCAATGGAATTAACATAGGTCTCCTAGGTGATTCCAAGTTCAGTCAAATAGTAATGAAGATTAACATCACCCTATGTTTGTGCAGCCTGAATACAACGGTGTATGTGCTTCAGTTTTTATTGTGTTGTTGTTTCTGTTCTTATTTTTAATTTAAAAGGATCAGGATGGTGCTCAATGATACTTAGGAGGTTGAGTTCAAACCACATTACCTAAGACAGAGACAGAGACAGCCAGAGAGAGAGAGAGAGAGAGAGAGAGAGAGAGAGAGAGAGAGAGAGAGAGACAACAGAAAATGGGATAGGGGTGGGGAGAACAAGAGGGAGGAGTCATGTGAGCAAGCAAACAAGCAACTCTAAAGAAAATAAAAGCTAGGAACAGTGATTTATATTTGATCGTCTTGTGTTTGAAGGCAGCCTGGCCTACAAAGGGAGAACTTGACTCAAGAAAAGAAAGAAGGAAACAAAATGCTATATATTTGATGCTCACGGTCTACCTTTGCATTTTCTATCTTCTTCCCTAACTTCTCAGAGGTAATTGCCACTCTGAAATGGTGTATCCTTTCTGTTTGTCTTTTATACTTTTACTATGTGCCTAATCCCAATTTATAGTATGTAATATCACTTTGTGTGTTTATTGCACACAAATGATGTCACGTTTTATCTACCAATGCTGTATACCACAATATATTTATCCACTCTGCCACAGCATGACACTGGCTGTTTCCAGTTTTCCCATGGGATGAACATTCTTGCATGTGTGCCCTTGTATGTGGCTGCGTCACAGGAGGCCCTAGGAGACATGGGATTATTTAGCATCAGAAAAGTACATCTTTACCTTAGCAATGGCCAACCTGAAATGCTTGCTCTAAATGTTCCTCCCCAGCATCCCTGACTGTTATGAACACTGCTCAAGGTGGGACCTTTGCCAATCCAATGCCTAGTGAAGAAACAAAAGGTGGGTGAGAGACAGACCCTGTAGATAAAACTTATGTGGAAAGTTTACTGGATTACAATGCTGACTCCTCACACTTGCTAAATATTAACCATTTTGCCAAACTGGTGCATGTATTGATTTTTGTTCCTTGGTAACTGTTACTGCTCTAGTTGATAGTGTGAACCTATGAGAATGGAGCCTAAAAATGAGGTGGACCAAAGTCTCATACAATAGCCAACTTTATTCAGGGTATCAGGCAATTTATATCCTGAAGGTATTCTGAAGGTTAAGCAAGGACTTGAGCAAAGTTCACATGAGGTTAGGATCTATACAGTCACAGTCATCAGGACATCCTGTGCTAGGAACATTTTTGATCATGGGTAATCTGAAGCAAACCCACTCCTATTCACAACACCTGGGTGGGGCATGAAATCACATTCCAGAAGCAACCCATGTTATGGAGAAAGAGAGGTAACAAGACTTGCCTTGTTTCTTTGGAGTTATCTCACAAGTTCTAAGACTTCATTCATGGACCATGTTCCAATATAACTGGTGAAGCTTTTTTCAAAATATACAAGCTCTCATCAGTCAGCTGGAAATCTGTTCCCCATCAGTTAGTGAAGACAGTCTTTTGCAGGGGGATGGGGTGGTGATATTGAGAGTCAGGCTGGGGAAATTAACGCTAAGGCCACCTGCTCCTGCCGAAGCCCAAGCAATCAGGATAGCTTGGCATTATAGTCAACAGGAAGGTACAGATGGTTTGGAAAGTTTGCTTCAGAACTTTATAGATATCTGGAGGCACACCCCCTAAGCACCTTTCAGATGACACCCCAGTCACACATAGAAGACAACATGATTCTTAAAGGGTTAGCCCTGAAATTATAATGGGAACGAGAGCTTGGACCCAGAGTGAGATTCCAGTTCCTAGTTCTTTGTAATGACAGATAAAGGGTGACTTCAGGGAGGGAGTCTGTGCTTGGCAGAAGTGAACTTGTTACAATCTAGAGTCCACATTATCGATCTAAGGAGCAAGAGATGGGCTTCTATGCTGGGAAAGAATGCCCTGGGCAAACCCAGTCCTACCATTTACTTCCTTTGAGACTCATAGGATAGAAAGTGGCAGTTATTCCTAGAGGGGGAAAGGGTACATGTAAGAATTTAATACATTTGATTTTGCAACAAAATAACTAAGTAGGTACTATACTCCCAGAAGTACTAGGCTCAGCAGTAAAGAATTAGGCCAAGTCACAGCTGTCCAGAAGTTTATATTCATATCTACTGTTATAATAAAGTAGGGGACCTTGGCGGATTTCATGGCATGCGAGGGACAAACATGCCAGGAAGAAGATCGTACGTAAGTAGTTTTATTAGAAAGGGAAGGAAGGCGAGAAGGAAAGAGAAAAGAGGTAAGGAGACACAGAGACAGAGAGAGGACAGAAGAGAAGAGGGAAACAGGAAAAGTCCTGTCTGCCCAAGGAGAACAGCAGGAAAGAGAGTGTAAGTGGGCGCAGGTTTTTCTTTTAAAGGGTCCTTTGTACCGGCATGCAACCATGGGACCCTGGGCTGACCAGAAAACTGCCTGAGTGCTTTCTGCTAGGTGACAGGCAGGCCAGCATAGTGCCTAAGTCCTTACATCTACCTGGCAGGAGAGATACCAGGATCAAGAAGATGGTTTTCCGAAAGTGAGGCTTGTCCATTGCACTCCAGATGTGCTGACCTCTTCAATTTCCCCAAATTCGAGAAATAGCATAATTTGTGGTAGTAGGGGGCTGCATTTGTGTTCTCTTCTGGGGGGGTTCTCATTCTAGGGGCTAGGGATGCAGCTCATTAGATAGAGTGCTTGCCTAGCATGCAAAACATCCAGGATTTGATCCCCACACCTCAACACTAATGAGTGCAGTATCCCAGCTTTGTAATTTCAGTGGTCAGGAGGTGGAGGCAGGAGGGCCAGAAGTTCAAGCTCATCCTCAGCTATATAGAGTAGGAGGGCAGTCTGCAATCGTAAGACCCTGTGTAGATAATAAAAGAAAATAAAAATAAAGATGCTCACGTTCTAAAGGAAGGTGGCCAAGAATCAACAAGTAATCCAACCTACACCGGGTAGTGACCGCAAGTGGGGAAATCGACTCAAGGTCATGGGGATGAGCGACCAAGGGGTAGAGCTGGCAACCAGCGCTTCTCTCTGCCTCTTCATTTACAGGCTACCCTGAGAATTCATTTCTCAGAGTCACTGGGGCTCTGACAGTCTTAAACTATGAAATGGGGGGGGGTAATCATCAGGCTGTGGATGGTTTTATTTAATTCATTCAAGTTCAAGTTTAGACATTCTTTCCAACTTTGATTTGCTTGCAACTTTATCCTCGAAGCAAAAGGGGGAGGGATGAAAGATTGAAAGATTGCTGGAAGGCTTTACTGATTTAACATTTACAAAAATTTTGAAAGTTGTCCAAAATTATAGGCTTTAGTGAAGGGGGAAAGGATTTCATCAAAAACCATATTGTATATATAGACAAACAAACGTGTATAATAAGAAAAGCAATAGGCAGAGACCCCACGAAGCAGGAAGCATAATTAGGCCCTGTTCTTGCACTGAGACTGTGGCTAAGTTTCCCTGTCTGTAAAACAATACTAAGGGAATCCAGCTCTGCCATTTTCTTTCTCCCAATACTTCAACTCCTACTTTTGTTTCATAGTACAGAAATACCAACAGTTTCCTTCATTTCTGATTCTGTTTTCTCTTAATCTGATGTTGAGCTGTAACATGTTCCCAGTTTAGATATAGAGGTCTCCATTGCAGTAAAGTTTAGCTCTGGTTTCCTCTTACGATCCTTCTTTTTCTGGAATGGGGGGCAAATTAGAAAACTATAACAACACCAAGTCTTCCCAACCCTTGAAAAAGCCTTGGTTGTCTTTTAAGGTTTCTTCATGCCTCACGCTTAAATATATCAATAAGCCACTGTTTTGGATAGGCTTGTTAAAATGACCAATAATGCTGTCTTAGTGGAAAATCAAATCATTTCTTTAAAAGTTTTGTTTATGTTTATTTTATGTGTATGGGTGTTTAGCCTGCTTGTAAATCTGTACACCACATGTGTGTAGTGCCTGTGGAGGTCAGAAGAGAGCGTCAGATCCCTCGGAAATGGAGTTCAGAATGTTAAAATTTGATGCAAGCATACTTCTGTCTCCTTTTGATATAAACAATCTCTAATGGTTACCTTTTAAGTTGCAGGTTTTCCTATTCTGAAGAAGAGGGATGGAGAGTCTAAGGCTAGCCCCAGCCTATAGCCAGATCCTGTGCAGGAAAATCAAACAAAAGGCTAGCCCTGGTAGGAGATTAGGGAGAGCATTACAAGGACGAGGGCTGCCTGAGGAGGGCAAGGCACGGCTTAACTACTAGACAGAGCAACGAGACCCCATCTCAAAGTGAAAAATTAAGAAGGGGGCTGGGCTATAGTTCTGTGGTAGGAACTTCTCTGGCTTAGAGGAGGGCTTAGTTTCAAGCTCCAGTATCATAATAAAAAAAATTGTAAAGCGTTCCAAGCATTTTCATTCTCATTTCAACTTTTTAACTAAAGAGGTTTTAAAACGGAATATCAACAAAAATTCAGCCACCTCAGAACAACATTACTTAGAGTTGGCCATAGTGGCACATACCTATAATCCCAGCCTTTGGGAGAATGAGGCAAGAGGAGCAAAAGCCCCAAACTGACCTGAGTTACAGAGCAAGGTCATGTCTCAAATAATCATAATCATAACATGATGATGGTAATGGTTAGCAGTTCTTCAGTGTTATTTTTAATAGTGCACCAAAGAAAGAGTGCTCTTGCCTTGTTATAAAAAGTGTCTTGGAGCCTAGTGGGTAAAGACACTGGCTGCCGAGCCTGACAATCTTAGCTCATCCCCAGTACCCACATGGTGCTCAGAGAGAACCAATGTCACCAAATTGTTCTTTGACCGCCGCCGCACCTGCACCATGGTACACAAGTGTCCGTGCACACACATGTGGGCTAAATAGACACATGTTTTCAGAAAAGGAAACCTAAAACAAAACCAAACAAAAGCCAGGAAGCATTTCTCCCCACGATCTAGTCTCTTTGTTTATTTGGTTTTTGTTTTGTTTTCACTATTCTCACAATGAACGATGAAGAAAGATGACATGTTGTCGTGTATTTACCTGACTCTGAGATCAGAGCCTAGAAACAAATAGCCCAGCGTTCTGCAGGCGAGTTTCTTTCCTGAGAGGTTTGTGTGGCGATCTGTGACACGGCACAATGCAGACACACACATGGCAAAGATTGGCTTCGGCCACTTGCAAGACAGGAGCACTGCCTCAGAACTGCTTCTTAGCATTCAGTTCTCATTGGCATCAGCTGTCACAGAGCCCCAGAGCCCCCAGAGAGCTCATCAGCCAGCAGCCAGTGAACTTAGAACTATAATCTTCCCACTTACATCCTGGTGTTTACGATCTACCAGCAGTGGATTTCACTCTATCCGACCTATGTGTTGTTGCTGTTTTACTCTTTTATTCTTTTGGGGCCTGCCACCCAGCTTCCAAATAAATATACAGAGACTTGGTCTTACTTATGAATTCCTGGCCTTAGCTTGGCTTGTTTCTATCCAGCTTTTCTTAATTTAAATTATCCCATCTATCTTTTGCCTCTGGGCTTTTACCTTTCTGTAGACCTTTCTTTACTTCATGCCCCGTGGCTTGCTGTGTAGCGTGGTGGTTGGCCCCTGGAGTCCTCCTCTCCTTCTGCTTTCACTCTCTGATCTCTCTTCTTCTCTCTTGCTTGTTTTCTCTGCCTGCCAACTCCACGTATGCTTTCTCCTGCCTAGCTATTGACTTTTCAGCTCTTTATTAGACCAACCAGGTGTTTTAGACAAAGTAGCACACCTTCACAGAGTTGAACAAAGGAATGCAACACATCTCTCCATCATTAAACAAATGTTTCACAGCATAAATGAATGTAACACATCTTCAACTAATATTCTACAACACCTTTGAGCATGTGTGATTGTTCTGTGAGTGTTGAAGGCCCTGGGCCTGTCTGTATGAAAGCAGCCCCTTGGCATGCTTACTGAGGTTGACCTCACAGAGACTCCTCTTTCATAACTTCGGCTCTAGCCCCTCTGTCCAACATCGGTATCTCCACCTTGCTTACTCTAATACATTTTACAACCTGCTCCAGAATTCACTTTTCCTCACCTCTAGAACATCCTGCATTTCTCATGCTCAAAATCAAGAAACACTGGGTGGTTGTGATGACCCTCATAAGTAACCCCAGAACTTGGGAGGTTGATGCTGTGGGGTCTGGAGTTGGAGGACTAGCTTAGGGTCAGGGCAAGATACTGTCTGAAATAAACAAACACCAATTCCACCCCGGAAAACCTTTATGAACTCTCAAGGGTTCTTCAAAGGCCATATTCAGTGTTCTTGCTCTGACATTCAGAGAGTGCTCTACAGTCTATTTACAGCTTCCCAGCTCCTCCCCTCCCTCGGGTTCCAGCCCATTGTCTCCTGCCCGCCCTTGTCTGTCTCCTAGGAAAGGATATTCTCCACCCAGCTCTTGCCTATTCTTCAAACTCAGCCTGACGGACGCCACGCTTTATCATCTTCTCAGGCCATGGTGGTGTACAGTGATTTCGTCCCACCTCTAGAAACAAGCACTCTGTACTTCTTGAGGCCCTAAATCCTGTGCTCATACACAAAACTGGTGATGAGTTCCTTTTCGACACACAGAGAAGACTGCATTTTAGAGATCAACATGGCGTCTCTTGAGACATGAAAGAACCCGGCGTAACAGGCTGACCTCGGGATTAGCATCGCTGCTTCAAACTGTGGCCATTTCTCTCTCTGAGTTGCCTCATAGCATTAGAGGCATCTCTACTTTTTGAAAGAGGAAAATCCTTTTCATCACATTCCAACCAGGTGAGAATTCAATGACTCCAGGAAGAAGAAAAATCCAATGAGATCCAAGTCCAATCTAAACTCTTCGTGCCCATCTAACCCATAAGCTGACTCAGCCTTAGCCTTACTGGTGGCTTGTGAGAAATGCAAGTTCAGGAGCTTCAACCCAGACCAACCGAACTGGAAACTGAGGGAGTGGCCCATGACTCTGAATTTCAAGTTTCAAGAGTTCACTGTAACTCCCAGAAAACAGCTGGCCTCTCTTTGTGGCTTGCTCAATTAAAGGTGACTAGTATCGCTAGACCACCGTTCTTCAGCTAAATTATACTTTTCCATTATTTTTCCAGTCACGTGATCACGCACCGCCCCAAATTTGTGAAAAAGCGAGAGCCCAGGTTTAGAGGGGCTCCACATTCCTCCAGGCTCCAAGCGATCGCATGAAACCCCGGCTTTTAAAACAGCCACTTGTGGTTTCTGTCTCAAACGCTGAGCCTGAAAGGTTTGTGGTTGTGCGACCCCGATTGGGTCCGAGTGACAGTTTTGCACTGGCAGAGGGGATGGGCGGATGATTGGCAGTTGTGTTCTGAGTGTTGTTTGGAGACTGTTTTATCTTGCCGCTCCAGTATGCGCACGAGCTCACCCTTACCGTTAAAAAAAAAAAAAAGGGCAATCCTATGCCTCATAGACCAAAAGTCACAAGCTGGCGGGGGAGGTGGTGTCTCCGTGCAACCTCCCTGGAGGAAAAGGAACTGCAGTGTTTGTCCCCCAGTCACTGAGCAACACCCAGGCGAACAGGGTGCCTGTGGTCTTGTGTGGTTTTTCTTGCTCTTCCCTGCGTTGGCTCACTTCCACCCTCCCAACGCTCCAAGGCGCCCTCCAGCT